CTGCCCTTTCTTCTGATGATGGATCTATATATGTATAACACAATATGTTAGTGAATTAAGATCGAATCAAGGAATAAGAACATTTAAACTACATACTACGGAATATTAATTAAGTGACATTTTTGTAAATAAATCATCAATTTTTCATCAAATGTACCTTGACCCCACATACATCAATCTTATACGAAAATGTCACATTGACAATGTAAAATTTGTTATTATGCCATTTGATTTAAAATACAGAGTACTTTTTTTGGTTATCTCCATGATAACGTTGGCTTTTTTGAAAAGTCTTTCAATTAATTCTAACCCATACTTCGTATATCATTAACTCAAACCGAATATGCAATCAAAACTCGATTTTAATGACTCTAAGGTTTACTAGTGCCAAGTGAAATTACCTGTCTTAGCGGGTGGACGTCCGGTTCTACAACGCCTTGGATATGGATGTTTCTTGGTCCCTAGCACCGGCCGGAGAAGCTCGGAGTTACTATCAGGATTACCAATATCGTTGTAAGTGTCATAATCATAAATTCTATCATAAGGTTGTCGTTCTCCTTGTCCATTGCCCCTCAAACTCTCAAGATCCTTTTCACGCCAACTCTTTAATCCAGCTGGAGTTTGTGATGGTAAATAAGCCTATAAATTAGAGCAATTTATTGTAATTGTTGTAAGTCATATCGTAAAGAAAATTACATAAAAAAACAATATGTTCGAGCTAATAATAATAATGATTTAGCAACTCAAACTCAAGCTCAACTTGCAACACCTTTTATATACATCCAGGTGCACATAGAAGTAGGATCCAAAGATTGTTTTTTTTTTTTTTTTTGCTCATCGTTATTTTTCATTTCATTTTAAGATTATAAAATGAGTAATTAAAATGTTAAATGAGTAGAAAATACCCTTTAGTGCAAGCTAGCTAGTTGAACTCTTATCATTAATTTATGGAGTACTAATTTGTTTCGTCACACTTACCTTATTCGCGAAGAAGATTCTTTTCTCAGGATTATCGTACTTGGAATGCACCCAAGACTCACAATCCACCCTAACAACACCTTGAGGCAAGCCTTTGAGGACGATATCTTTAATGTACATTTCTCTTCTATGCTCATTTGTAACTAAGATTGCGCCAAGTTCTCCAAAATTTTCATGTACTTGTAACTTTGATTCATACCTGGTTTCATTTTCCTCGCGACGTAAAATGATGTTTAGTTTTGCTGGTGCTCGAATTGGCTCCTTATCCAAATTTGTCCCTAACTCTGTAAGATCAGTACGTTTATATCAATATTTCATATTATTATAGCAATAATTATAAAACAAATCACTTTTTTTTTTTGGATTCGAGTAATTATGAAAAAAGCTCGTAACAATTGAATTGGTAAAACAATTATCCTCAAAACAATAAAATTATGCAAATTAACCCCAAATCAATCTAAATTAATAGAAAAAGTGTTTAATTTCCAAAACAATTTTTTTTTTAATGGAAACGATATATGTAGTGAAAAATATCTCATTGGAATCAAATTACAAAAATTATGTATGAGACTATTATTTTCAAACACAGGGAGTATACAAGTTTTAACGCATGGATGATTGTATAAATGTATACTCGTATAGAATAATGAACCAACATACTTGGATCGGCGGAGCTAATAAGTTCCAAATGGAGAGCATTGCCTAGCAAAAGATCTGAAATGCCATCAATTCCTTGGCCTAAACCAATGTTCTTCAAGAACCCAGTAGCAGTTAATTGCACAGTAACAATAGCTCTAACACTAATTTTTTTAGCCATAATTAATTTGATTTTATGGTTGAAGAGAAATTATACTATGATTTTGTTTTTTTTAAGGTTCAAAAGGTGTTATTATTTTGTAATCTCAAGAGCACCCTTTATATGTAGCTCATTTGCGCGTCTTACTGAAAGCTACTACTATTGATAAAATAATAGTCTTCTAATAAAAACAATTTATTTAAGGAAATAGTAAAACCGTTGTTTCGAAGTGGACTTTTCTAGATAGCTTTCATTGTCAACGAACCCAACTAGTATTGCGAGAAAACTAACTTGATAGGGGACCGACTAAAGTTCCTACAATTTTGCATGTGTTCTGTAGATAATTTCATACTCCCTTCGTCCTTAAAACTACGAGTAGTTTATAACACATATACAGAATGAAGTAATTTCTATGTTGGATTGTCGTTTCTAAAGAGTTACCTCAATTTTATCTCGATTTTCACAAATTCTCTTTATTTTATTTACTATTACTACCCTATATGATACATACACAATTTAAAATTTGTTGCCTGAGGCAGTTCTAATACCTAAGATTCTATAAATTTATCGACGGACTCGATGGAGCAAACTTTTAGAGACTTAGGGAGTACGGTTTAGAAAAATGATTGTACTCGTACTAGCATATGGTTTACCATGTCTAAGGGCCCTCGGCATTCAATTAGAAGGTACTACTTGAAAAGGTATGAGAAGAAATTTCTTTATTTAACAAGGACATAGTAGCTTCGTCTATCATTCAACTATCTAGACTAACATAACTTTCTTCGTTAACAAGTACTACTTTTATTTATCTTGATTGTAATGTTAATATAAAATTGAAAACGAGTGAAACACCGCCATATCATAATTGGACCTGCCTCGAAAAGAGGGAGCAAATTAATGGGAGGCTACCTAAATGGCTATAGATCGTCAACTAGTACTCTTTGTATAGATTTGTTGTCTAGCAAAATTCACCCTAATTTAGGGCTGAAGGATGTATTTCTACCAGTGGCGGACTTGGGCTTAGACCTGGTGGGTCAAGTGACTCACCAGGCCCAAAAAAAAATTTTAAGTTATTTTTAAAAAAAAATAAAATAAAATAAAATAAAATCAGTTAGAGCTTAGAGGAGACTTCAAGGCTTTCAAGCCCTAGCCTCTTCGTGCTCTTCGTGACTTCGCCTTCTCCGCCTAATCGCCTCCATTCTTCTCTTCGTGACTTCGCCTTCTCCGCCTAATCGCCTCCATTCTTAATCGCCTCATCTCCATTCTTCTGTTCGTGACTTCGCCTCTTCGCTCATCTCCATTCTTCTCTTCGTGACTTCGCCTCTTCGCTTCGCCAGGCAGCCACCGTTCTCTTCGCCTAATCGCCTGGTAGTCGGACGTCGGTGACTCGGTGGTCGTGACTCGTGGACTCCGTCCTCTTCGTGAAATCGCTACTCGAAACGTCGGTGCTAGTAAGTTGATTTCTAATTTTTATTTTTAATTTCTAATCTTCAAATTAATTCAGTCTAATTTGTTAATTTTATTAAACTTTGGTTTAAACTTTGGTTGATTTGTTATTTTACTGTTGGTTGTGCTGCTGATTGCTGAATTTATTTTGTTCTTTGATTCCCTTTGGCTCTTGGGCTCTTGGCTTAAAGTCGAGTGATCTACTTACTCCTATTTTGAATATCTTTCAGTGGCTTAGCTGCTTTTATTCTTTCCTATTCATTATGTTGTCTTTTATTGCATCGGCCCGTTCATAATCGAGCTATTAAAGACTATTGATCTTTGTTATTGTTGTAACAACTGATTTGCTAAGCTGGATGATGAAATGTGGTTGTCTGATGTGGTTATTGCTATCGCATGTGCATAAACAGCAGTTTCTGTCTCTTTCTTTGCTTATCTGTTAATTACACTCCTGCTCCTGTGATCAGGAGAAACCCTGTTGCCTGTTTCTATCTACAATCTACTTGCTCATATTTGTATTTTATGCTTTGAGGATGTCACTGCAGAACTCAGTGGGTATCATCTTATCAAATGATCATAAATTATCAGCCTTCTTGGTTAGATCTTGCTATTATCTGGTATCCGCATTTTTGTACGAGATTTCTCTTAGTCGAGCCAATTTAAGCTGCCATAAATCATGCTATTCATTTTAGAGATAAAGGGGAAGAGAGTTTAATGTTTACTATCTAGATTCCCCAACCAATTTATCTTCAGGATAGCTAGAATATCACTGCCTCACTGGTAATATGTTTGTGGATGGTGACCTTAAGTATGTAGGTTTTTAAGTAAAGTCTTGATTCATGTTTGCACTTTTTACATCATATTTTATCATATATACTGTAAATTGGTCTTTTCTCAGAACAGTTATTACAGCTATCCACAAACCTTAGAGTTAACTTTTTTGTCTTGTGTTGCTCAACTGGAAGTTTTGTTTTGCTAGGCATTGAAGCAAGAGGTTTTATCTTTGGTCCCCCTATTGCCTTGGCTATCGGAGCAAAGTTTGTGCCATTGAGAAAGCCAAGAAAGTTGCCCGGTACTTACTCCCAAAACTTACGCCACTGGAGACTTGAGTGCTGCCGACTGCCGACTGCCTAGCAAGGTAGGTAATCAACTAATCATCAATTGATTTTTTTTGTGAAATCTGTTTTGTGTAATTGTGTTTTGTGTAATTGTGTTTTGTGTAATTGAAATCTCTTGAACTTATTAGTTATTACTTATGTGAAATCTGTTTTGTGTAATTGTGTTTTGTGTAATTGTGTTTTGTGTAATTGAAATCTCTTAAACTTATTAGTTATTACTTATGTGAAATCTGTTTTGTGTAATTGTGTTTTGTGTAATATGTTTATGTGATTATGTCATTATGTGAAATTGCTTGATTTAGACCATTTAGTTGAATATTTATTCAAATAATTTTTCTGGGGAATATTGCTTGATTTAGTTCAATATTTATTCAAATTTCAGAATGAAGAGAAAACATACTCCAAATGAAATGCAAAACATTACTAGCTTCTTTGCTAAAAAAAAACCTACTCCAACTTTTCTTCCACATCCAACACAAAATGAACAAACTATAACTCCACCTCAAGAAAGTGAGCAACTTTCATCTCCATCTCATTATTCAACTCAAAATTCCCCTCAAAATGAACAAGGCCAATGTTCTCCTAATGCCCCAATCTTTGGAGAAAGATTAAGTGAACATGAATTTGCTAATCTTCCACAAGATCCAGGAAAGAGGAGAAAAATGAGTCAATTTCATAAAGATGATAGAGATTTAGTGAGAAGAATTTACATTCAAAGAAAGCCTTGTCAGCCCAAAGACTTTACATTTCCTCAAACTTCTATTTTTGGCAAAAATCGTCGCTTTTGTGCTAAGTGGTTTGATACTTGGACTTGGCTTGAGTATAGTGTGGAAAAGGATGCTGCCTATTGTTTCCCTTGTTATCTATTCAAGGATGAAAATGCCTTTGGAGGTGATGCTTTTGTTAGTGATGGTTTCAAATCATGGAATCGATCGGATTTAATAAGAAAACATGTCGGTAAACACTTGAGTGCACATAATAATGCTGTTTTAGCTATGGATTTGTTCAAGAAACAAAATTCAAGCATCACACAAGCCTTAACAAAACAAACCGCTGAGAGTACAAATGCATATAGGACGCGACTTGAAGCTTCAATTGAATCTATCCAATGGCTTTTACTCCAAGGGTTGCCTTTCCGTGGTCATGATGAAAAAGAAAGTTCCTTAAGAAGAGGTAACTTTCTTTCACTTTTATCCCTTATTTCCAAAGGTAATCCTGAATATTCTAAAGTTGTTTTCAAAAATGCTCCTAGTAATTGTCAACTTACTTCTCCTAAAGTCCAAAAAGATATCATAAATGCATGTGCAAAAGAGACCACTAAAGCAATGCTTGAAGATATTGATGGTGGTTTATTTTCTATCCTTGCTGATGAGTCCGCTGATGTTTCTGACAAGGAACAATTGGCTCTTTGTTTGAGATATGTTAATAGAAAGGGAGAAGTGTGTGAGCGTTTACTTGGTATTGTGCATGTTGTAAACACTGCTTCTTTGACTCTCAAAACTGCTATTGAATCCTTATTAATGGAGCATTCTTTGTCTTTCTCTCAAGTACGGGGTCAGGGTTATGATGGGGCAAGTAATATGCAAGGTTCTATTAATGGCCTTAGGACTCTTATAGAGAATGAGTGTAAAGAAGCTTATTTTGTCCACTGCTTTGCTCACCAACTTCAATTAACTCAAGTTGCACTTGCTAAAAAGAATTCAGATTGTGCTTGGTTATTTGTTGATGTACTTGCACCTCTCTTGAATTTTGTGGGGGGTTCACCAAAAAGGAAAGAGTTTCTTCGTGAAAATCAAGCTCAAAGAGTGGTGGATGCATTGTCTCTAGGTGAACTTGAAACGGGTTCAGGTTTAAATCAAGAACGTGGATTAGGTAGACCTTGTGATACTCGTTGGGGATCTCACTTCAAGACAATCTTGAATGTACTTGATTTATTCCCTGTAATCCTTGGTTCTCTTGAGGATATTGCAAAAGTATCTGATACAATAGATTCTAATAGAGCTTAAACACTTACAAATCTTCTGATGTCCTTTGATTTTGTGTTCGTGGCACACTTGATGGTTAGTATATTTGCGATAACAAATGCTTTGAATGTGGCCTTACAAAAGCACGATCAAGACATTGTGAATGCAATGGCCATGGTTAATGTAACCAAGACTAATTTGCAAAAAATGAGAGATGAAGGATGGGATTCTCATATGGAAAAGGTAATTTCTTTTATTGGTGACTATGACATTGCAGTTCCAGATATGGAGGCTAAATATGTTGTTCCCGGGAGGAGGTTGTTTAGAGGTAAATGCCCACAAGTGTCTAATCTACATCATTTTCGAGTTGGAGTTTTTTTTGGTGTCATTGATCTTCAATTGCAAGAACTTGAAAATCGATTTCCCGAAATAACTAAAGAACTACTTGTGTGTATGTCTTGTTTGAGTCCTGTGGATCGTTTTTCTAAGTTTGATAAGGAAAAATTGATTAAGCTTGCAAAATTCTATCCTAATGAATTTCCAAGTTCAGAATTGATAGTCTTTGGTCATACACTTGATAGTTACATTTGTTCTGTTAGAGGAGATGAAAGGTTTTGGAATTTGAAGGGTCTTAGTGATCTTTCAATCAAATTGGTTGAAACGGGATTGTCTGAAACTCATGATAGGGTCTATTTACTTTTGAAGTTGGTGTTGCTTCTTCCTGTCGCAACGGCAAGTGTGGAAAGAGTATTTTCTGGCATGAAGCAAGTGAAAGACAAACTACGAAATAGCATGGGAGATCAAATGTTGAATGATTGTTTAATTACTTATTTGGAGAATGATTTGTTTTTGAATGTTAGCATGGAAGATATCATGAATCGATATCAAAACATGAAAACTCGTCGAGAACTATTTTAATAAGTTTGCATTACTATTTAGTTGTCTTTTGTAGTATTATATGAACATTTGGTTGTATTTTGTACTGTTTGAATATTTGGATGTATTTTTTAGTACTATTATTTGGTTGTTTGGTAAAAAAAATTTTTTACATATTTGATTATCGATTGTGACTCACCAGTCGCAAAATCCTGGGTCCGCCACTGATTTCTACATATGCATGTCTCGACAACATATTATTTAAAAACCCTAATTTAATAAGAGGATTTTTGGGGTTCAAGATTACCCAAAAAAAAAAAAAATCAAAATGTAGATATAGAAGTCCATAGAATAGAGGTGTCAATTCGAGTAAATGGGTTGGATTTGATGAGACCTGATCGGGTCGAGTTCATTTCAAAAAATTATTGTGTTCCTTTGTACAAGTCGAAACTTGAATTGAGCTTTTTACAGATTAGAGTGAATTGAATCGGGTCAATTTTTAACACATCTACATAAAGAATTTCTATATACAACAGATTTTACGGATTAAGTGAATATATAGCTGGTCTTATGGATGCCAATGCAACTATCTAAATTAATTAAAGCCTTGATATATAGTTGAGAATCTTGAGATTAAGGTTTAATTAAATTGGAATTGATGATAAATTATTGACAAATGTAACTTTTTCTAATATAACACGACAACACAACACAAATCAGACGCGATAGAATCAGGTTGATTATTAATGTCAAGTGTTTTTTGACACGTATAATTGAACAACACACGACATGACACATTTATTGTCAGTTCTAATCAATTTATGCTTTAGTCCTAATCTTAGCAAACTAATTTAGTTATATATTTTTCTCATTTACCTTCTTTTTTTTGGTGAAAAATTATTTATAATTTTTAACATACACAATTTCTTTTTTCTTCACGTGGAAAACAGAAAGTCTACCATCTTCATTTACTTCAAACAAAGAAGAGACCAAAAGAAGAAAAACGAAAAGTCTTTCCAACATTGTACACCAACCAAATCAACCTTGATGATTTGATTAATTAATAAAATGTTAGTGTAAAAGACCTAGTCTTTTTTTAAATGTAGAAGACTATAATTAAAAGTCAATTAACTAAAAAGTTGGCCTGGCAATGACAGTTCACCTAAATTTTTGCAAGAAAAGTAGTTTGACGTACACTTTGGTCTATTTCAAATGTTAATGCTGGTTTCCTTTTCTCCATATAGTAGTTAGACGTAGTTCGTACTAATTTAATTTGATAAGGGCAAAGTTGTATATGTTTTTAAGGTTAACTGTAACGTGTTAAAATAGTCTATTGTTTGAAACGGTTTTATCTCAATTTTAGGAGAGTTTGCGTGCAGTACATACAAAATAATTTTTCGTGCTCAATTAGGCACACTTACATTTTGTTATACTCCGTATGAAAAACACTAATATCATTGTTTTCTTGTAAATGTACTCGGATTAACCAAAAAAATCTAATTGGCATAAAAAGATGGACAATTTTGAAAAAAGAGGTGGGGGAGATAAAATCTAGAGGAGGGTGACGGAAGATAACAGGGATTAGCTAGGATCATAGAATGAGAGGCAGTGTGGAAAAAAAAAAAAAGGTTTAGTAGTAGGATTAGGTTAATTTAATTAATACCATGTGTATAAGAGTTTGTTAATGTACGCATTCTAATTGATGTATTAGTTTTTTTGAGATACTAATTGATGTATTAATTAATCCTTAATCATCAATTGCATATTAATTACTCAGCATGCAACGTATATCATCTCTATACACATACACATGCTGTACACCTACTAGAAGACTAGAATGTTGTTAAATGTATTACAAGTATATACGAGTACAACATTTTATAGATTATGTACTCCCGCAATAAATAAGAAACTTGCTCAAATAATACACTAAGTAATATATGATACTTCATGATTAAACACTAAAGTAATAATTGATGATATATTATTAATTACATATTTATTAGTCAACAACGTGCGTGCGTGTATCATGTCTATACACAAATACACATACATGATACACCTACTAGAGGATTAGAATGAGAACACCCTTTCAAAATCTGGATATGTGAAGCACACCTTTTACCTTTTAAAGTATAATAAAATCATTAGATCAACCTTACTTAAATTACGAGGTTTTGGTAAATTTATATTCCTTCATTTCTGAAAGAGGGTTTTGAATACATGCATACTCCTAACTAAGAGTGAAAGATGAAGACCTATGTACAATACGCTCGGATTCTAAACTCGTCCGCTCCAATCTCCCAATTATTATTATTATTATTTTGAATACAAAATTACTAACATAAAATTGGTTTGATGGAGTTTTGTATTTTATTTAGATAAACGTATGTCTATGTTTGTAAACGACAAGCCCGTGCGATGCACGATTTTTCATCAAATATCTCAAGAAGACATTTCCTATATACTCTACGTTTTTTTTAAATTATTTGATTTATTTTATAATTTAATAATTTCAGACAAAAAAAAACAAATAATAATTTAATTAAAATGATATTGCCAATTACAAAAGTATTTTTTTTAATGTAATTTATAATGCAACTTAATTTATTGTTGCTTTGATTTTATTCGTTGTTGTAAGTTATATGACAATAATATGATATCTTTCAAAAAAAAAAAAAAAAAATTGTAAATATGATATTTCATTGAGTACATATTAGGATAAAATCTTTAATGTGAAAAGATAATAATTTTTTATTTTTAAAATAATTTAAACCCTAAATCATTATTCGTTGCTTTTTACACTTGAAATTAAACTCTCAAATCTATATATCATTTTGTATATTTCTTGTGATCTCTTGATCTCTAAAAAATTATCTGTCTTTTCAAATTTTTTAGCATAAAATGTTTAAAGAAGGTAAAAAAATTTATTGCGTTATAAGTTTAAAAAAAATTATGAAAAAAACATCTTATTAATTGGGTATTTAGATAAAACCATTAATTTCATAAGATAATTTTTATTTTTTTTATAATTTAAATGCCAATATCCCACGGTTTTTTATACATAAAATCTCATAAAAATAATTTTTGTAATTAGATCATACTCATAATATTTTTGAACATTAAAAATTATAGTTATTAGATGTAATATTTCGATGTAAAAAAATTTGTATCAAAAAACAATTTCGATATGATCACCAACTTTGTTCACACCGATATCTCTTCCATCTAATAAAAGTGGATAAATAGAACATGCTATCAAAAATAAAATTTATATAAAATTAATCTTTATAGTCTTATAAAATAAATTAAAATATTTACCAGAAAGTGAATAATTGTTGTGAAATTAATCTAAAAATTGTAATTATACAAAATTAAATCTATACATTGGAATTTTTTCATCGTCCCCAATTGGCCAAACAATAGTATTTGGAAAATAGAATCAATATTTTATTATCGCTGATAATGCGTGCGATATTGCTTCTTATTTGTAACGACTGAAAAGTATCTAATGGAGTAAATTTTTTCCTTCAATCAATTTTGAACAAAATTGTAGAATAAAATTGACTTTAATTGAGGCATGAACGTAATCACCTTGTAATTAAAAATAAAAAATTAAGTTAATTTTATGACTTAATTAAGCTACCTAAATCACTAAAAAATTGATTTAATCATAAAATTAATTGATAAAATCTAAAAGGTTCATTAAAAGATTAAATAAATGTAAAAGATTTATAAAGATATAATACCTCCTCATCCAATAGGATCCTCAGGCGAGAAACTCGTACTTTGATATTCCAAAGATTTTTGCTCGAATATATTTCTCTGATTAAATTAGATCTGCTTGTAAAAAAAATTCAGTAAACAAAACATAAACATATAATCATTAAGTATCCCAAATAAACAAAATTTAAGCAATAATCACAAATATATATTTAAACATGAGTTTTAAAAATTAGGTTAAGAATTACCCAACCATTGATGACCTAATAAAACTGACACAAATTAATGACACAAAATTTGTTTGGTTTGGTTTTGTATTGATACAAAATTTTGTTGGTGTTGTATGATGTGTCAATTTATAATTGTAGGTATCACAAATTTTAATTTAATTATAATAAAGAAATAATTTTTATTTCTTATCATAAACATTATCAAAATTTATC